AGGATGACGGGAAGTGTTTGTCGCTCCTACAAACAATTGACCTGGGCGAGCGTTTGGTGTTTTTGGCTCACAGAGAGGCCAGGAATCAGAGTGCTGACGAGAGGCTTAGCTGGTGTTGAGCCACTGGGGGTGGAGCGTCACACTCTGAGGGGTGGGGGAGGGATGGGTGGGATGGGGGGTCGGCAAGGGGGGAGGTAGAGTGGGGGGGCGGAGGGCTGGACTGCCCTCTGACACGACCCTGTCAAATGAGAGGGGAACCATCACGTACTGTAGGCCTGCCAAGAAGCTCAGGTGAAGGTAAGACACTGATTTTATTACCCTAGTAGCTATATTTAATCATACTGTGTGTACTTTATCAGAATCTACTTTTTAATTGTCTACCTAGATGCAGACATGCAGTGTTTTCACACCAGATAAATTAAGACTAGATGTAAAAGGTGTCAGGATGTGTTTATCCGCTGGGTGGTGAGCAGCACTCCCAACCAGCATGACAGAAAACAAAATAATCTATAACAGAAGCTGGTTATATCTTCGCCTTGTTTAGCTTTGCTCATTAAATACAATACACCAGGTATTCTAGAAATTCACCTGGACAATGTGCTCTCAGCAGCCATTCAGCGGGTCTCAATGACCGACACTTTTCACAGCCTACACAGGACAGAGGCTCACATTCATCACACACACATGCAGCCACACGGAGGAAAATAACTACAGTAAATTATAAACAATTATACACCAGTAAGAACACTAATAAAACACAGCAGCACCACCTAAATATAGGAAACATGTAGTATATCTTACATTTTAAAGTAGGAAACAACAAAAAGCATACCCACTAAATTATACACATGGGTACAAATATTTAACTTTTTAAAAATTATAACAAACTATGAACTTCAAGAACTCACATGAGCCTTAGTTACCAAGTATTTCGTTAAAAACTTAAATAGATTTAATCTTACAAAACCCGGATGCAACAGGTTTTGTGTGTTGAACAATGTGTAGTGTAACATTGTGTGTCCTACAGAACTAGGTGTGACATCAGAGGGCCTTCTTCTACGGAGACACTGAGTGTGTACAGTGCAGCACTGACACACACACACATTAAATAAAAGTCTGCTTGTGTTTACCTGCTTTACACGTTGAATGGAGCTCTACAAATGGACTTTCATTCAGTATTGCACTGCCCTCAAGTGTTCACTGCTGAGAGCTTACACTGTGTTCATACTAAGAAGGTTGTGCAGGATGACGACATCTGTGTGTACTATGTCTAATGAAAGGATCTTTAGTTCAATATAAAAAGAAACATAAAGAAATGTCCAGGTAAAGGTTGTTATAGTTAAATAAAACTAAACTGAAACTAAAACTAAGTGTGAAAAAACATTTTAATCAGCTGGAATAAAAATAAAAACTAGGCATCTGAGAAAGTAAAATTAGAAGTAACTGGAACTGAACTGTTCAGTGACAAAACTAAAAATAAAATATACATAAGATGTTTTTCGTTTTAGTCTCATTTTGGACAAATTTGCCGACACAACAAGCATGAAGAGAGATTAGTGCACATGTTTACTGAGACTAGGATGTCTACATGCCTTCACAAAGTGTTGTCTTTGTATTGTAATGCCTATTCTAAACTTCTTAAACTTTGTCCCTATCATATGTACCCCATATAAATAATTAATTAAAAAAAAAATAAAAAAAAATAAAACTAATACTGAAACTAGTAAAAACTAAACTACAACTAAAAAAAATCTGAAACAGTAAAAACTTAACTGGAAACTAACTAAAACGAAACTGAACTGCAAATAAAAAAATAAAAAAATAAAAAAACTAATGAAAAACAAAAAATATAATAGCTCTTGTCCAGGTATAATTTGAAAACAGAGATAATTTATGAAGTACAAGCTACGACTGGCTCTGTCTTTCTTCACTGTGTGACTGTCACTAGCAGTAGCTGTTGTAGCTGTGACACTAGTATTAGAAATTATAGTTACATGCACACGTACGTATCTATATACTTCATACCATACACGCAAAGAGACATGCACATACAACCTCACACATACATGTGTTTGCCAGGTAGTAATACCAGTAGAAATTATACAAGCAGTGCCGGTGATTTTAATATTCACGAACCAGAAGTAGTAGTATTAGAAGTGACAGTATACTGTGTATACTTTTCACTGCACTTACGTATTTTATGGCAGTATCTGTAGTTTACTTGAGTTTTTATATTTCTGCCAACTTTCTATCTTACTTGACAACATTTCCTAAATAAAATTTTAACTTTTACACCACTACATTTTCCATAAGCATCTTAGTTACTTACTACAACACAGGGAAGGAAGGGAGAAAGCCAGGAGGAAGGAAGGGATGGACACAGACGAATGAGGATATGGGAGGGAGGGAAAAACTGGATTTTGTTCTTTTAAAAAAGATCTTGTTTTTCTTCAAGTGTAATGCAGGCTCTATTTTTAAAGTGGTGAACATGTTATGGAGAAATATCATTTTCTTGTGCTTTTACTTTCAATGCTTAAGTACATTAATTGGATAAAGTTACTATTGATGCCTAAGTACAGTAAATATCAGATAGTTTGGGACTTATACTCAAGTAATATCCTAATAGGTGACTTTAACTTTTACCAAAATCTTTTTCTGGTAAGATATCTGTACAGTTAATTCATCCACCACAGAGTATTAATACTCGCTGTAGTAGGCACAGTAATAGCAGTAGTTTCTAATGGTATCCATATAATTATACATGGAAGTAGTGTCAAAACCAAAATCAGTAATTGAGGTTGTAGTGCCATCAACAGCTATAGCAGTACTGCAATTGTATGTAGTATTATTATCACTATTTTATGGCATAGGAGTGGTGTAGTCGTGTCAGGATAAGTAGAAGTAAGAGTGGTAGTAGTAGTCGTCAGGGTAATATCAGTAGTAGTATCATTAGTAGTATGAGTGTTGTCAGTAGCAGTAACCCTGTGCTTTCTGTTCTGGTTGTGGACTGTTCACAGGTTATGAGTTTGACAGGAAAGAAGAAGTTCTGCTAAGAGAGAATGAACATTTGTAACCGGTGAGTAAACTTTACAGAGGTAAACACAACAAAATCCATCGTCTCTTCGCTGCCTGGTCACACACTCAAAAAGATTATTTGGTCTGTTTTGTGAGGTTTACGCTTTTCAATTATGTATGAAAATTTCCATCATATTACATCAACATTTATGTAATTAAATCAAATAAAATGGGCTATGAGAATATGCAACTTTAGTTCATAGAATTTACCTAATTTATTTTTATTTTCATTTTCAAGTTTATGTGTATTGTTTATTTCTTAGGATCCCCATTAGCTGTGCCCTAAAGCACTGCTAATCTTAATCATAACTGTTAACATAAGTTGTATGTATGATTGAAAAAAACTCTTAAAACTATGTAATTAGTTTTAATAAAGTGTGTGTATTTCAAATATGATGATGTTTGTCAACATATTTGAAATACACACCATTTATTATTAATCACACAATTAATTAGCAATAATTATATGAACTTTATTTAAGTACATTAGGTTAATTCTATGAGCTATTTATGTACTATAGTAGTAGGACATACATGGTTGTTTTTTAATGGCAGTTTTCAATTAGAATTATTCAACTCAACTGGATAGAAATGTTATATGTAGACAAACTGAAATACGTAAATGTGACAACATAGACCAAATAATTTCTTTCAGTCAGTGCAAATTGGACTGCTGAAAATGCTTGTAGACTCAAAGAACGTTTTTTCCATTTAACAAAATGTTCCAGATTTTGATTACTATTTAATTCCGTAGCTTTTTTTCTTTGGTTAATCAATTATTATTAACTAAAAAAGGTATTTATCATTCAGTCAGTTTAGCGATGAGTGGTAAAAATTGGCTGTGACAGTTTTGCTTAAGTAATGGAGAGATTATTTTTTTCTTTCTTTGTAGGCCTAGTAGTAAATAGAGATTATATTTTTGTAAACTGAACTAAATGACTTTAAAATCAAACCATAAATTTAAAAAAATAATCAGTTATATAGACATCAGGTTTATGGCAAAGTGTGACATGTAAATCTTCAACAAACTCAGGTTTCACACTTCAGTTTATGAAACACAGCAAACTACACACACAACACGAATGACTGAAGAGGTTTGCACCTGTACTGTCTCTTCATGTTGTGAAGCAGCTGTTTCTGGGGCCAGTTGCAGTGTTTGTTGTTTTTATAGTCACTCATGCATTCAGCAAGAATAAGGTGCTTCCTCAGGAAATCCTCTGCAGAGTTTAACACCCAAACCCTCCAGCTTTTTTTAGATTTTAGGGTAGGCATTTGAGTAGACATAGGAACGGTGCTATACCTTCACTTGTAAGTCATCATGCCTGAGCCCAACACCTCTGAATAGTCTAATGATCACTTTCATCACCAATTAATGATTGTTTCCATAATAAATTAACAAGTCCAGCATAGTGAATTTACACTGACGCAATCAGGCAGAGAAATCCAGAAAATCCTCACATTTAAGAAGCTTGAACCAGTAAATATCTTGCTTTTATGACTGATGAATTACATAAATTATTATTATTATTATTATTATTATTAAAAGAATGTGTTCTTCACTGAGGAGATGTTTCTCAAAAGTCACTATTTATTACCTCTAAACAGTATTTGTAGAATTTTTTTTCCATTGTAATAAAAGAGCTCAGTGTCCATGTAGCATATTCAGTTCATTGTGACTTGATACAGATCTAGCCTCCACCATGTGTTATGATATGATAATATTTGTCTTTCAGATCCTCACTGAGTTCTCGGTATGTTCAGACTAAGAAAATTTTCATGCATGCTTACGTGATTGTTCAGTGAACTGTGAATGGACACTGTTGCTCATGAGGAGCTGCTCTCTCTTAAAACTAATGTAACATTAGTGTGATAAGACAAGACAGTCCCAAGAACATCTCAGGAAACAAGGCAAACATTTTACTTACTATTTATTATTTCCCCCACTCATTGCTGGCAGTAGCTTTCCAAAGTCACAGGTCCTGAAGTCCTGCTGGTACAAAACAGTGACATTGAATTAATTTCCTCCTCTGTCAGAACACAATAATGTTAAAATGAATAGTAACATAACGTAGTTATGCTGTAAAGTATACATAGTGTCGATTTGGGCCACAGGCTGACTTTAACGTTAAATTTAATTTGTGAGGTTGTATTTTTGACATATTATAAGTTGAACACAGGCGTTAACAGGTGGTGAAATTGAGGGAGTGACTAATATTAAAAATGCAGGTTGCCTGTATCCTCTGTGAATGGTTAGCTAGCTAGCTTAAATATGTGACTGATTAAGTATTTCAACACCATAAAAAGGACACTAACACTAACAAAGTGACTAACCCTGGTGCTGCAGTAAATGTGTCTCACCTGAAGCCACCAGCAGCTGCTCAATATGGCAGATCTGTTCAGCCTGATAAGTGGATTCAAAAAAGATCAGTCCGGGTAAGTTTTACGGGCTCCTCTTCACTTTCTTAAATAAATATGTAGCTAACGTTTATTATTAAGGCAACTTCTGACAATTTAAAAGTTGCTTTGGTAGTTGTTGACAGCCTCGTTGTGTCTTCAGACTGTGAGGATATGACAGCTAACGTTAGCTTGAGTCAGCCGTTTGAAAAGAACTGTCACCTGCAGGTCTCGCATCAATATGTGTTCCCTGTCAATCAGTAGCGCTCCGGTTCGGTGGTTAGCCTAACAGCTAACGTTAGCTTGATTCAGCCGGTTACTTGTAGCAGGTGTAGCATCAAAATATGTTCCCCCTCCTGTTAATGTGTAGCGCCCCGCCTCGGTGGTTAGCCTAAGAGTTAGCGTTAGCTTAAATCAACCGATTGAGAAAACCAATATGTTCCCCTTCTGTTAATGTGGAGCATCCCGCCTCGGTGGTTAGCCTAACAGCTAACGTTAGCTTAAATCAGCCGATTGAGAAAACCGTTACCTGTGGCAGGTGTTACATCAAAATGTGCCCCCCCATCTATCAGTGGTCCCGTCCTATTAATTAATAAATTTTCTTGTCTTCTTTTGTTTGTTTGTTTGTTTTTACATTTTACCTTTAATGTAACAGTGTTTTAAGCCGAAATAAATTCTTTAATTCGGTTGCAAAAATGTGTAGCGTATATACCAAATTAAATGTTTAAAAAAAAGTCTTTTGTCATTTGTCAACTAAAATGTACGTAAAACATCTTACGCCTTTTCTTCTAAATTTTGGAGGCATGGCGGTGGCTAGTTTTGAGTCTCTCTTGCTAGACTAAGTATGCCTTCCAAATCCAAAAAAGTAAAAGTGTCAGAGTAAAAAGGTGAATTTAACTCTGTGTGGACAGATTTGTTTGCTTTAAATGTTGGAAAGTGAGAGTATCAAATAATAATAAATAGCTCCAAGCAGAGTAGCCACCTTGTGGTAAAACATATCAATGAAAGCTCATTTATAGCTATCAGTAATGTTGATAGGCTATTTTAGAATTAATAGGCTGTGTTACCTTCATTACAAGACTCAAGACTTTTGTTAAAAATGGCACTTTTAATAGTAAGGCTTGCCGACCCCGAGTCTAGTTTAACATGCTTTCGAGTAGACGCCTACCATCATGGGCAGATTATGAGACAACTGGCCCCTGGGGACCGACATGCAGAAGGCCCCACCTTTCTTTCTACATAGGAACAAGACACACAGACTTTGTGGTGGTTTTGCTTGTTGTTGTTGTTGTTGTAGTTTTCCATATCTTTGGAGTTGGGTTGTGTGTCTTTGAAGTCATTTTGTCTTTTTGGTCATTTTGTGTTTCTTTGTAGTGATTGTGTGTTTTTTCTGGTTGTTTTGTGTCTATTTGTTGTAATTTAGTATCTTTTTTGTTCATTTTACATTTCTGGTGATTTTGAGTCTTTTGGGGTTTTTTTGCATTGTGATAATTTTGTGTCTTTTTTGTTATTGTGCATCTCTGACATGATTTTGTGTCTTTAATGGTCGTTTTAGTCTCTTTCTGGTTATTCGGTATCCTTTTTGGTCATCGTATGTCTCTCTGTGGTGATTTTGTGTCCTTTTTGGGTCATTTTGTGTCTGTGTCTGACACTAATTATCTTCAATGTTTTCCATGTTAATTCAACTTTTCTATAATGTTTGTAATAATAATTATATTTTCATCTATTTTAAATTAATTAAAAAACTGTTAGTTCCCACTAACTTACTTGGAGGGCAAAAGCTGTGGAAAAAATTGTTTTGTTTTTTTTTTAATTTAGTGTTAACTACCTGAATTGTTTTTAAAGCTACTTTAAATTGGAAAATGTAAGCTGCACCCCAGGTCCCCATATTTCCTCAACAAACATGGGCACCTATGTGCATCAGTTGTGGATAGTATATTAAGTAAATTTACTTAAGTATTGTACTTTAGTAAATTTCCATTTTATGCTAACCTATACTTCTACTGTGCTTCACTGCCTATCACATAACTTTGGACTCCAAATATTTATGTAGTACAGATGTAGCCATGAATTTACATGTACTTATACAAATCTGCATATAAAATATGATGCATTCATATTCTTTTATTTGCAATGAAGAATTTTTTCATTGCATTATTTCACTGTTTATTTTAGGGATCTGAATATGTCTTCCACGTATGTGTAGTCTAGTTTTCTAACAGCTTATAAAAACTGAATATTTTAAACTGGAGGTTACTGAAGAAGAGTCATCACACCAGTGTCCCGTGTGCATACGTGTTAGCATGTAGGCCCCTGTACACAGCATGTTAAAGTGTATGCCCATATGTAGTACTGTATGTACCATCTGGACCACAGACAACTGTGTCAGACGCCTCTTGTCCTCACTATAGTTGGAGTCACCATCAGCACATTTCCAGCTTGTGTAAACACAATAAGAGCAAGGGTCACACTCAGGTCACATACACTGTCATTGGCTTTCATAGCGGCTCTATGAAAGTTTGATTCTGACTGACACAAAAGCAACACTGTGGACACAAGGATTTATATCTGCTAAAAAAACTAAAACAGAAAATCTGAAACGTTCATTTTACTTGCTCAGATGTCAAAGTGTGGAAGCTTGACTGGTGAGTTGTTGACGCCATGATTGCACTGCATTTGCTGATACGAGGGGCAGTTTCAGTTTGAGCGGTGATGTTGCAACTTCAGTCCTTCATGGAGGCTTGTGTCATGTGAGAGTGGGGGATTTTGTTTGTGACAGATCGTTTATTTGTGGTAAGTCTTGAAGCTGAAAGTTGTTGCATTTAGAGTAGTTTTTCCTTTTGAACTCGGATGTGTCTGTTTGGTTGTCGGAGCCTGTAGCTGTTTGTCTCACATGCAAAGCAACAAATCCAGTTTCCAGATGGCTGGATGAATAAAAATATGAGCAGTGACTGGGAAAAGATAACTTGTTATGCTTAACAAAGCCAGCAGTTTTCATCAGTGACTACAGAGAGAGATTTTGAATGCAAAATATCTATATTTTGTCAACTTTTATCCATATGGTCTGTGCACTGCACATGGTGAAATTACTTACAGTGAAAGAATTATGTGTTGATAGTTTGTTATCTCTTTCCTGTTCTGCACATTTTATGCTGTTATCAGTTGGCATCAAAATGAAAACAGATGCTATCTGTTTCCCCACAGAGAGGGAGGTCGCTGTGCAGAGATGGCTATGGTATGCCTGACAGACTTTGAGGAATATGCAAAGGAGCATCTCTCAAAGGCCACCTGGGATTATTATGCAGCTGGAGCGGACGAATGCTGCACCAGGGACGACAATCTACTGGCTTACAAAAGGTACAGCGAGGAAAATAAAGTTTGCCCAGACGTTCAAGGTCATCACAAACATACATTTTAACCATCTTAATATTGTTTTTATATTTAAAGACACTCTTTGACATTTTAACTGCACCAAACATGACAGTCTTTATCTACAAACAGGAGAGTAAACGTTATTTTTCATGACATTTATAACTACAGACTACAATCATTGAACATGTGTGGCAACATGAACATTATAAACAAACCTAAACTCAATTTGCTGTATAAATGTGCTGAATAATATTAAAAAATCACCACTGAGGGCTGACACAGTTTGTGTTTGAGTAGTTTTAAAGGGGACATATTATGCTTTTCTTTTTTTGTCTCATATATAGTGTTACAGTGAAGAATGCTCATATGGCTAAAGTAAGTTGAACATAGAAGTTATCACTATGAGCAATAACCTCAGGTTTTCTATCGTTCTTAACACTCAATTTCCAACAGTTTTTTCTACTCTAGCTACATTATGATGTCACACTGTGCAGGATTTCTTTATATGGTCATCTGCTCCAGACACACCACAGCAAGTGTTTACATAACGTAGCCTTCGCTGCTACATGCAGCTACATGCAGCTACATGTTAACGTCAGGGAAACATGTTGGTTGCCAGTGTTGAAAATTTCTCCTCAATTTCAGATCATATTCCTGCTGGAACATGTTTGGTTATGTTTTCAAAATTGCCACTATTCACCGTTACAGTCATTCCCCAAGGCCAGTACACTGCCAATGTACATATAGCTACATGCTAACATCAGGGAAACATGTAAACTTGGTTGCTGATGTGTCCCTGATTTTGGATCATATTCCTACAGGAACACGTCTGGTTATGTTTAGAAGCATTTATTAGTGATTTTTCAAGTCAAGTCAACTTTATAGCACATTTCATACGACAAGCGTAAACTCAATGTGCTTCAAGGTAGAAAGTGGCACTATTCACCATTACAGTCATTCCACAGCTACAAATACACTGCTATTGTACATGTAGCTACATGCTAACATCAGGGGAAATCTAATCTTTGCCGGTGATGTTGTAAATATATCTTTGATTTCGGATCCTATTCCTACTGGAACACGTCTGGTTATGTTTAGAAGCTTTTATTAGTGATTTTTCAAGGTAGAAAGTGCCGCTATTTACTGTTGCACTCATTTCCCAATGGCCAGTACCCTGTTAATGTACATGTAGCTACATGCTAACATCCAGGAAACATGTAATCTTTTGCTGATGATGTAGTAAACTTCTCCCCGATTTTGAATCATATTCCTGCACCTCACCTCGCACCACACCTGGAGTTATGTTTAAAAGCTTTTCTTGGTGATTTTATAAGGTAGAAAGTGTCACTATTCACCGTTATAGTCATTCCCCAGTGGCCAGTACACTGCTAAGGCACATATAGCTACATGCTAACATAATGTAAACTTGGTTGCCAGTGTTGAAAATTTCTCCTTGATTTCGTATCATATTTCTGTTGGAATACATGTGGTTATGTTTAGAGGCTTTTATTGGTGATTTTTCAAGGTAAAAAGTGCAGCTATTCACTGTTACAGTCATTCCCCAACTGCAAGTACACTGCTAATGTACATGTAGCTACATGCTAACATCGGGGAAACGTAATCTTTGCCAATGTTCTAAATTTCTCCCCGATTTCGGATCATATTCCTGCTGAAACATGTCCGGTTGCGTGAAAAAGCTGTTATTGGTGATTTTTCTGAAAGAAAGTGCCGCTATTATCTGTTACAGTCACTTCTTAGCTGCAATGAAGGTGCAGAGACGCTGAGATACGGAACACCTGTAAACACTGACTATTTACAGCAGACCGGGCTCAAGGAGACAGCCACTTAAACTGAACTATTCAGACCGATGTTGAATCCAGGTGTTCCAGCAGAGACAGTATGAGGAAAATAAAGTGTTTTGACCATTAAAGCATGTAAACATGTCATAGAGGAAACCTTAAATACAAGTATGAACCTGAAAACAAGCACAATGTCTTCTTTAATACTAAAACTGAAGATCATATGAGGGCACAGCCTCTAAAAACACCATAAACTGAAGCTTTTGTGGACTTTGGTTTTCTTTAACTGATTTCTGTGTACAGTATGTGTGGTTGTGATTCCTTATAACCACAAACAGGCAGTTATGTTTCACTGATGCTGCACTGTTCTTCCAACTCCAGCCCCCCTGTAGTGAAGAAGAAACTGTTTTGAAAGTTGCATTACCAGAGAGACAAAGACACAAGGTCATGATTTGTTTTATCTTGTCAGAACTTTTCCTTCATGTGTCTCTTCATGCATTCCTCTCAGCTTTCCTAATGTCTCCATACAGACTGATGGACTGTTTCTCCTCGCTGTAAGGGGTCTGTACATACATGTTTTTGCTACCTACATAAAGCCTGTAACTAAGGATTTGTTTGCTTGTACATTTGGGTCGGGTTAGAAAATTTCCCCCCCGAAGGAATAAAGGTTGGGCTGTTTCTTGGAAAGATGATCTTAAGTCATAGCTTTTGGAAAACCCAGAGTGTTCTGTCTCCACTTATTCGAAGAAATATGACTTGTCCAGCAAACACAGCATGTTGTCATCTCAAGAAGGATTTCTCTCAGAATAATGGCTTCATTTGACAGAACTGGACTTTAAGATTTTGCAGTGCTTACAAAACAGGGTGGTTTGGCTCCATGGTTAGATCTCTGAATGAGGAAAATGAAGATGAAAAAAAAACTTAAAAATTTTACAGTTATACATTTTGAAGTGGTAAAATGTTGGATAAAAGTTTTGGGTAGGGTTATAACAGACAACTCTGAAAAAATTTGCCTTCGTAACCATTTTCTAGCATTCATTTATTCATTCATTTTCCATAATTGCTTATCCTTTTGGGGGCCGTGGACACTGGGCGAGAGGTGGGGTACACCCTGGACAGGTCACCAGACTATCACAGGGCTGACACATGGAGACAGACGGCAATCACGAGCACATACACACCTACGGACAATTTAGAGTCACCAATTAACCCGCATGTCTTTGGACTGTGGGAGGAAGCTGGAGTACCTGGAGGAAAACCCACATTGACATGGGGAGAACATGCAAACTCTGCACAGAAGGGCTCCCCCACCCTGGGGTTCAAACTGTCAATCCAGAGGATGAGAGTTGTAGATTTTGTAGTGTTTCAAATCACTGAGCATTTCTGTATTTCCTGTGGTTCCAATGTGAAAACGCACTTTGCTTTTCAGGTATTTAATTTGCTGGATTGGGCGAAAACATACATCTATAAACAGCTTCTCAGTTTATTCAAATAAAACACAAGAAGTCCTACCTCCTCTACTTCTTTAGTTGGTCATAACATGCCTTCTCACGTTGCCTTTCATTAGTTGTGACTGGACAGATTTATCTGAGTGACCCCTGTTACAGTGGGTGTTTTGCTTACATGTTCATCTGTGCCTCACACTCAGGATCCGTCTGAGGCCTCGGATCCTGCGTGACGTGTCGGTGAGCGACACGCGGACCACAGTGCAGGGGACAGAAATCAGCTTTCCAGTTGGCATTGCACCAACTGCCTTTCACTGCCTGGCCTGGCATGAGGGAGAGGTGGCCACAGCTCGGGGTAAGGACTGTCTCATAAAACCTTTATCAGAAGAGATTGTGAGGCCTGTGTCTCAAAGTTCATGACAAATTTGTGCTTTGGAGGGACAAGGTTTTCATCTTGTAACAATGTTAGTACAGATCAACACTAGATGGGAGCATGAGGCTGCAATGATCTTGTGCTGTAAGGAAGATACTCTACTGGTCTTGTTGGTCTTGGACTGAACTCCTCAAATCCACATGTAAATTTGATCTTCACTGACCACACTAATTCACTTTCCACTTTTGCCTTACAGCCACGGAGGCACTCAACACCTGCTACATCACCAGCACTTACTCCACCTGCTCAGTGGAGGAGATTGTGGCAGCAGCACCAAACGGCTACCGCTGGTTCCAGCTGTACGTGTACCGGGACCGGAAGCTGTCTGAACAGATTGTGCACCGCGTAGAGGGCCTCGGCTACAAAGCCCTGGTCCTCACCGTTGATGTCCCTTACACTGGAAAACGGCGCAACGACATCCGCAACCAGTTCAAGCTGCCACCACACCTCAAGGTCAAGAACTTTGATGGAGTGTTTCAGGTAAATACCTTTAGTTTCAGCATGTTCAAGATATTTTTAGAAACTGTAAAGACATAGCAGAAGTATTGAGTATATTGAGAATATTGAGTGAAATATAATGTATATGTGTGACCCATGAAATATTGCTAAAAGTCATGCATACGAAACATCCAAACTCCATGTACCAACAGTGTCAAAGACGCCCCATGACAATAGTTGCAGCATCATCAGTAAAACTTGAAGCAGTAGTAGTTTAGAGTCCATTTGTAACATGTCTGACCGTTGTGCTTTCTACCACATGCACAACGAACAGGAGACTGCAGCTCCAGAGGAGTATGGGATCCCGGCCAACACCTTGGACCCCTCCATCAGCTGGAAGGACGTGTACTGGCTGCAGTCCATCACCCGCCTGCCTATTATCATCAAGGGAATCCTGACCAAGGAGGACGCTGAATTGGCCGTGGAACATGGTGTCCAGGGCATCATTGTGTCAAACCATGGGGGGAGACAGCTGGACGGAGGCCCAGCTTCGGTACTTACTGACCATGTTGCTTTTTAAAGCGAAACTCCACCTAAATTAAGAATACCAATATGTTGTTTCCATGGCCTTGGAAAGTTAAATCAGTGTTTGTGAACATGAGATACTTACTGTCAAAGCCAGAAACAAGAGACGTAAGTCTCGAACTTGTGACGTCATAGGGTATAAAGTCTGGAGCTGCTTTATAGAGAATGGATGGGAGCCTGATTTTGTGGACCCACACAATGTTTGTCGTCTTTTTAAACACCAATGATCTTTACTAACGGACAGCTCTTGGCCAAATGCAAGTATGACGCTGAATATATTAAACCGTGCGGACCTTGAACTAATGACTAAGGAGAAATCTGGACCCCGTGGCTGGATCAGTTGGGAACCACTGATCTAGAACATCTTTCCCATTTCACTGTCTATGGAGCAGCTCCAGACTTTATACCCTATGACATCACAAATTTAAGTTTAAGCATTCTCTGGTTTGGATTTAGGCGAGAGTTGTTTTTGTTTACCAATATTTTTGGACTATCTTAGACCATGGGAATAGCATATGAATTTTGAGAATGGGCATAGGTCCCCTTAAAGTTATTCTGAAGATAAAGCTGTTTTTAGTTACTATGCTTAAAGCCGCTACAAGGAACTTTTAACTGGATATGCAAAAGTCTCTTGTTTCTGCTAATGTCTGTGCGTGACCTACAACAGCAAATGAGACCATCGGTGTGAAGAGAAGCTATTTCAACATAGTGTATATCCATACCTTTAGGAAACTGTCTCCGGGTCCACCCCAGGTTGCTTCCAGGACGAAATGATTTACAGCACTCAGACGGCACACATCATCTTACCTAGCTGCTTACATTTATAGTGACTCTCATAAATAGTCGCTATTCCTCCTCCTCGACCCGACGTCCGCGGGGAGTTAAAATAGCAGCAATCATCGGGTAAAAGTTCTGTGAAAGCACTGGACTCACCAACAGTCAGCCACGTCTCAGTCACACAGAGAAAATCCAATCCTCGGGAAGTCAGGAAATCCTTCAGGATAAACGTTTTGTTCGCTAGCGATCTAGCATTTACCAGCCCAATCCTGGCAGGAGCCGGCGGGTCCACAGTGTTAGCTGTCCAGGGAACCACACACAGAGGCCGCAGGTAGCGCAGATTCACCTCGCGCCAGCAGGGACGAGGAGAGCAGGGGCCACATGGCTGGAACACCTCATCCGGGCCGACGACAGGTACCAGCCAGGCATCGACAGGGTCCAGCGAGTGCCGAGAAATAAAGAGGCGAGGCACCGCTCATACTCAGTCCAGGAAGCTGTGGAAGTGCTCGCCAAACAGGCTTTCAGCCTTACCAGCCGACCGCTGCGTTTACCCCGGTGGCAGTGGTGCTTACGCCAGAGAGGTGGAGCTGGGGCGCGGCAGAGGTGAGCTGGGATCCCCGATAGGAGCGGGGGCAAAGTCTTCCCGTCTTGTTGTTTCATTCATCCCCAAAACAAACACATGCGCGAGCCAGGTAAGCGTCTTTACGACAATACGCGCTAGAGCTCATGGGATAAAAAAAGGCTTCATTCCGGCAAAACACTACCGCTTTTGTCCACAGGGTCAACTCAAAATGAAAGTTCCTTGTAGGGGCTTTAAAGAGGATGTGAGGGTATACCCATGTCAGTTAGCCACAGCAGTGACACAGCCCAGTTACAGAAGCCGTGACAGTAGTGGTAATGCTAGAAGATGTATTATTAGAATGAGAAGTAGTAATACAGAAGTGAGCAGTCACAGCAGTAGTGGCAGTAGTGGTGTAGCTTTACTTGTGGTAGTAGTAGTGAAACAACAAGTTGTGGGTTTTACATTTTTCCTGAGGCCTTGTTGTCATGTTGAGTTTCCAGGGAGTCACTTTGCTGAGTGAAATAGTCTGGTACAAAACCCTTTTATGAGAGAAGTAGTTATTTTTACAGTGATCTTTAGGGGTGCTCATAGGCAGATTTTGTCAACTTTGGACTTAGCCAGGCTTGCTTTTTCCAGTCTTTATGGCTAGGTCTTGAAGCCTTTAAAGGGTAGCTTTGATGTGTTTCAACATGGACCCTATTTTCCTATGTTTTTGTGTGTCTCAGTGACTAATGGAGACAACGATTTTTGGAATTGGGACAGTATTGACTGAGAGTGCTGCAGCTGGCAGGGGCAAAATAGGGTGCAATATAAACACTCAGGGCATTTGGCAACATCAACTTATGCCCTCTAAAAGTGCTTGTTTTTGCCACTGACTCAGGTTGTATTTAATAAGTGTCTTACAACATAATGGAAAGGATCCCTACAGAGATAGGCCTTTTTGTTAAAGAGTAAGATCCTTTTTGTTTAACCAGAAACAGCCATGAAATCTGCATCATCAAACCAACCAGACTGCATTCAAATAAACTGTAATTTTAGTGTGTATAGAGCCGGTGTATTTTCACATCTAATTGGAAAAGTTAAGGATGTGTTTCAGCCAAACTAGAGTTGGTGATTATTGAACAGTGAAAAGATGAAGCAGAAAAGCTTTTGTGAGTTTTAATTCGTCTCTGACATCTTTGAATGTAACGCATTTTAGAGTAATAAAATTACTGTTTATTTAAATGGAGTCTGGTGTGTTTGGCGATGGCGATTTTGAGGCTGTTTCTGGTTAAGCAAAAAGATCTTACTCTTAACAAAACGGGTCTGTCTCTGCAAGGATCCTTTCCGTAAACTTGTTAGACACTTAAAATAACAATCTGAGCCTGTCAGTGACAAAAACAAGGACATTAAGTGGGCATAAACTGAAGATGCCAAATGCCATAAGTGTTAACATTACGTTTACAATCTTACATTAGCACTGTCGCTGAATACTGCACCAATTTAAAAAAATCTTGACTCCATTAGTCACTTAAACACAGAAACATGGCAAAACAGAGTCCACGATGAAAAATGCAGAGGTTACCCTGGTATTTGAGAGTGCTGAATCAAAGTTATAGATAGTATGAGCTTGTTATGGTTTTGAGGTAATCACAATTAAACATTGAAAACTCAACAGGTTGTTTGTTAATAATAGACAATCCTATCTCAAAATAAGAGTGAAATGTCTCCTGTGGTAATATACAAGGTCCAACCTGAAGTGTGAAGTGTAGTATAAAAGTTGGAAACACATGTACACTCACCAGCTTGTGCACTGCTGCTATAAAGTATGCTGACCTTGTTCCATCATCACCTCTGCTGCTGATAGATTGACGCACTGTCGGAGATCGTGGACACGGTGCAGGGCAGGATCGAGGTCTATCTGGACGGAGGCATCAGGACAGGAAGTGACGTATTGAAAGCGCTGGCCTTGGGAGCCAAGTGTGTCTTCATTGGCCGTCCAGCAGTGTGGGGCCTTGCATACAAGGTACAAACAGCAGCACTGAGCAGTGTGTGATACTGTTAGTGTATGTATGCATGTTTTGAGACTGATTATAACCACCAATGTTTTTTTTTCCGTTGAAATATTACTGACAACTATCTGGCTCTCTTGACATCTTTTGGTACCGGCTCCACATACTAAGCCACTGTCCTTGATAGCTTAAGTTTATCCCTGAAAGCTATTGACAGTATTGGAGCGAAGGTCTTGGTGTAAGGATTTTACAGCAAACTATTAAATCAAACAGTTAAGTTAAGCTAACAACCTACACTGAAAAATGGATTTGGATCTTGCAATAAGGAACTACAACAAATAAAATAACTTGTGATTGCACCTCAGAAAAGATCAGACTCCATCTCACAGGACTCTCAGCATGTGCCACTAACAGTGACTTCACTTATGCACCGATCTGTTCCACTTCACACGAGCTTCTGTGATATCATCGTAATAATGTTCTGCAAGAGTCACATAGAGCCGGCAAATCATCTGTGGTTTTGACAGCTCCAGTGAGCTCCTCCAGAGCTAAAGTACAGTCAAGCTTCATTTCTTGGGCTTCAGTTATCAATTAACATTTGTCTTTTTTGTCACTAAAAGTGAGTTACACAGTCGACATATGTCTGTTACTGTTTTTTTGTGGCATTTTATTTTGCAGAGAAATAGCCTTTTAAATGACTGTCTCCCCACGTGCAAATGTTCCATCAAAACAAGTTCCCCCCAGACAATATTTTGAAAGAGCAGCGCCACTGCAAACACAAACAAGCCAGAGCATTTTTTCTTAATAGCAGAATAATAATGTGTGCTTTCAGACCTTTCTCTGTGGAGATAGGTCTTGCTATGTCAGACTAAATTATGGTTTGTAACTTGTAGCGCTGCTATGCTGTTTGAACTCAATGAAATCTTGATGCACAGTATCTTTTGTCTTTATTTGTCTGTGGCAGTAAAAAAGTAAATGAATGACAAATGAAATTAAAGCTTTTAATAGGGCTGGACACAGTCGACGATTCTGTTATTTTTTCTTCCGGGTAAAGTTTTACAGTTTGAATGGGGCTCAGTGAGACGTTCAGTGTGACAGCGGCATTCATGTAATATATGAGCTAACAACGCTAACAGCAGATCGGATATGTGCAACAACATTTATTGCAGACACTAGATATCAAACAGAAGCCAGAGACTGTGAGCTGTAAAATTCACCACTTGTAAGGAGAACAGAGGAGATAATGTTACCTTATGTGGAAAGTTTCTCCTACTCTGTGCTGCTGCATCACATCCGCAGGTGCTTGTACCAAAGAGTAGCCTGAAAGTCAACAGCAATCACTCCACAGCAAAAACTGGGGACCAAAACATCCCCAGAAGAACACTGCACAGCACACTGACTAGCCAAAAAGAAAAAAAAAAAAACTGACTGCTTGACTTGAAGCAATCCCAATCGACTGAGGGGTTTCCGACTGGCGATTCAAATCTCTGACTTTCGAGGGGCAGCCTTGGTTTTTAAAACTCAAGATAACATTTACCAATGTTGATTTTACAGGTAGATTACAAGATAACAGATTGTCTTTTGTCTTTTGTCTGTTTGTCAGGGTGAGGAAGGAGTGAGGGAAGTGCTGCAAATCCTAAACGATGAGTTCCGCCTGTCCATGGCTTTATCAGGTAAGACATGTGAGGTCATGACACTAAAACAAAATATATTATGTGCCATAACAAATACAGCAAAGAAAGAATGATTGTATTTATCTGACCCAGGTTGCAGGAACGTGGCCGAAATCAACAGGAACCTTATCCAGTTCTCTAAACTGTAACAGACCAGCAGAGGGCAGCACTGAGGATCACAACACCCACTGAACAGGACCAAACCAAACCAACAGTGTTGAGCAAGAGCCTGAGACTTCATCACGACAAAGAAACTGAGAGATGTTCACCTCAGAGCTCATGACTTTATCATGTCAGGAAACATGCAAAACAGCCACATACAAGAGTGTACGAGTGACCCGGTGTCTTGGGGAGGATGAGGGTCGGCGACAGATTTAGCAAGTGAATAATGAAGGTGTTTTTTTAGCTTTTGGATTGGAGGGCACATGAGCTCCCAGTTTGGCCTGGTGCCCAGGCGAACTGATGATGACACACACTATGGTTTGAGATGCTGACGATGATTGTGATTGAATAAAAACGCCTGCTGAGGTGACGAAGATATGTCGCTCTTTTATGGATCTATTTTAAGCAGATAATAACAGAGGTCTGTGTTTTGTTTTTGTTTCTCATTTTTACTCTTAAAGGGACACTTCACCCCAAAATCAAAAATGCATATTTTTCATTTTACCAGTAGTTCTATTTATCAGTCTAGATTGATTCAGTGTGAGTTGCTGAGTGTTGGAGATATCAGCTGTAGAGATGTCTGCCTTCTCTCCAGTGTGATAGAACTAGACTCAGCTTGTGGTGCCCCCAAAAATACAATTTAAAAAAACTCAACATCAATGTCTCTTTGCAGAATTCATGACCTGGTTACTCCAGAAAATCCACAGACCTTGTTGTGAGCAGTTTCATGTGGGAACTATTTGTATGTAAATCATGTAATTATGAGCCAGTAATTCATGTATAACCCACAAAATTGAGAAACTGTGATCATGTGACTAGTGCACTGATGGGGGTAAAGAAAAAAGTAATATAAAGAACAAAAATCTGGGGGCAGGCTGGGGTGGTGGATGGGTCAAACAAACACAGGACTTTACCCCAGAAAACTGGTGTTTGTGTCATGTGTGACACCAAGTGATGTTTGAGTTATTTTAAAGTATGTTATCATGTTTGTTTTTTGTTTTTCAGCCTAACCTATATAATTTTACTTGCCTGAACTTAACTTGCGTAACTAAATGTTATGTATGTAACGTGACAACACCCAACCATGTTCCTTTTTTCTAAACCTAACCTATGTAACTTTACCTAAACCTAACCCACATAACTTTTCCTAAACCTGGGGTGTCTTAGTGGTAGAGCAGGCCCCATGTACAAGGCTGTTGCCGCAGCGGCCCGGGTTCGAATCCAGCCTGTGGTCCTTTGCTGCATGTAACTTTATCTAAATCTCAACTTTACCTAAACCTCACCTACAAAACCTGCCTAAACCTCACCTACGTAACTTTACCTAAACCTAACCTACATGACTTGTTTTACCGTAGCCTACGTAACTTTATCTGAACCAAACCTAAATTACTTTACCTTAAGTGTGTTACGTGATGACACCCAGCCATGTTTCGTTTCCTAAACCTAACCTACGTAACTTTACCTTAAGTATGTAACATGATGATGCCCAATCATATTTCTTTTCCTAAACCTAACCTATGTAACTTTAACTTAAGTATGTAAGGTGATGACGCCCAATCATATTTCTTTTCCTAAACCTAGCCTACACAACCTTTCCTAAACTTAATCTATGTAACTTTACATTAAATACGTAACAGGACAACATCATTCATGGGGCACTAATTTCTTCGATACCATATAAACCATTGTTAGAGGATTTCTTGATCTACTCATGGATGAGAGGCTCGTGACAGTGTGAGATGTAAACATTAATGGTGTCTGCCTTGGCTGAGCTGTAGCATTAGCTAGCTCAGTGGTGCTAGGTGAGCTAGCAGTAGATGGACAGTAATATGTTTGGAAGATGTCGTTTGGTAGAAAGAAAATAGTTCCTACATGAAACTGCTCACAACAAGGTCTGTGGATTATCTAGAGTAACTGGGTCATGATTTCTGGAAAGAGACATTGCTGTTGAGGTTTTTTAATTGGCGCTTTGAGCACCTCAAGCTAATCTCATTCCATTATATAGGAGAGAGGGAAGACATTTCTATTTCCAACACTGCAACTCACACCAAAACAACCTAGACTGATAAACAGCACTACAGGTATAAGAGAAAAACACATATTTTTTAAGGGTTAAATGTCCTTTTAAGTACATTTCCACCAGCATTAAGGAAACACTACAAACTGCCACTTTTAAAGGCCATGAGACCATTTTGTGAATATTCTTTGCATTGCAATGGACTGTTTTCATCTTTCACCCAGCAAAAGACAAAAAATTACCATAAAAGTATAAGACTGAATGATAACGTCTGACAACACACTCGTGCATTTGAGTCATCATACTCCTCTTATCTATGTAGGCCATCAAAGGCCTGCTAGTATGCATATAGTTCATTCAAAACCTTAAAAAAAACAGCTTGTGACACTTTTTGCTGCTGATTTCACTAACAGTATCACAAGTGTCACATTGGGGTGGGGAGATGCAAGGAAGGCGCAGAAAGTGAGAAATGAGAAGTAGCACAGGAAGTGATTGAGGTCTCGGTTTAGGCAAAGAAACGTTGATGCTCGCTCCGACCCACGACTCTCAAACCAGCTGGCACAGTGCAGCAGACATTTTCTGCTCAGCATTCCTCTCAGAGTTCTGGTTGGTTAGACAGGTTGATCAGGCTGGAGGGAGGCCTGGGATCCAGTCTGCTGAGGAGGATTTCTTCCAGGTAGGTCACCTACAGGTGTTTGTTTCAGATCTGGATCTGTGTGAGGCACCAGCAGAGTCAGTACATGATAATTAAGTACAACAAACTCATCTGAGTGTCTGTTTCAGCTGTACAGGAAGGTGCATGTAGGCTGCTAATTATACTTTTAAAATATCTGCAACACGGTTACTGTGTCTCTTCATTATTACACTTGTCAGCTGGATCAAAATCAGCTTTATTGGTCAAGTATGTGTAAACATAGATAACATAGTTTTAAGTTGCTCTTACACACAGAAATATTTACGGGAAGATAAAAAAGAAAGGTGCATCGAAAAAGTACAACAAAGCAGAAGAAGAGAGGTAACATAAACTAATATAAGTAGGTGAAAATAGGTGTATATATAAATATGTACAAACGCAACAATGACCAAAAACGTTCAGTCTAGAGTCAAGTGTAGACAATGAAAAAACAAGTAGTAGATTATATATATGTTGCATTTTGGTGGGTGGTTATATACAGTATGTGCGTGTCCAGTAGACACGTCTATTTGCAAATGGCTGTATACAGCATGCAGGATTTTTAGATTGATGGTATGGTACTCTATATTAAGGTGCACATAATCAAGATGAAGTAGTTGCTTATTAGCAGCATTTTGGCTCTTCATTTGTTATCATAAAGTACTTTCAGTTCCTTATTCTGCATGCCTTATAAGGTGGTAGTGCCACAAGAATAGTCAGTCTCCCTTAAAAACAATTATTTTGGTGTAATTTTATGTAACAAACGACAAAACTTTTGTGTTAATAGTGTCCAAATAACTCTAAATTAAGTCTTCCTAGCTCAGAGTTTGTTCCCCATTCTAAAGTGAGGTCTTGCTCATCACTAACTCAGTAGTAGTTAGACACTTAACAACAGGTTCCCTATTCTAAAGATGACTTCTGTCAGTGCTGGGCCAAGCAGATTCTGCACCCTAGGCAAGCTTCCCCTGGGGACTCCCTCACATCCCACAAATAAACAACCTTGCAATGTGCTTATTTGCAAATCTCGTCTTCTTTTTCTGTTTTGTACTGCGTCCCAGGTGGCTTCTGTATTTTCATTTTCTCTTACTCTAATGCTTTGCACGTACACTCCATTATACTCATCACATTAAACACATTTAAGATGCAGTGAGTGACTCTTTTGAAACTTTGCATGACATTTGCTGAAACTGTCACTATTTTCTAAAAGAAGTACATGAGGCAGATAGTCTCATGTAGGCCTACTTCCTTCCCTCTTTATGCCTCTAAAACAACGTTTTCAACAAACGCTGTTAGTATGATACCTTTGGAACCAACAGTAACCCTTCAGACATGGTACCTAGACCCTAGTGTTTCTACCACAAACAGTCCTCTTAAATGTGGGCGGGGTTGTTGTCACTCACTGCTCCGTCCAGCACTCACTGTATTTCCTCCTTTATCAGTCTGCACCTGGTTTATAGTCCACAGAACGAGGCTGCACGCCAACAATTTCAGAACAAAAAAGAACAGGCTGCAGTGAGAATATCTCTCCATGGGATATTTAAAAATAGCAGCTTTGTGCATTTAGTCCTTCTCAGGCAAGCTCAGGGGTTTATTGTTGCTGGAGCACACAGGAACGACGCTCCGAGACACTTTTTCTTTCTCCGAGTGAGGATTAGAATATCTGCAGTTCACATAACCCAGCTGATACTGATATACATTAACGAAGATCCTCTTATGACTAAAAGTGTGTGTCATATAAAAACTAAAGGGATGGTCAAAGTTGTCACAGTGAAATTTAAGGTGTGCTGACTGATTCACGTGGTCACCTCATGCATTGAGTAACATTACAAGTTAACGTTCCACCTTAAAAGTCGCCGGCAGTCGACCCAGTGAATGAAGTTATTTTTCCTCTGACTCCAGCTGCTGTGAGAGGCAGCAAAACATCCTTTCATTTTATAGTTAGAGTAATAAAACTCTCCACAGTATGAACAGTGGTTACATGAGCCTCAAAACCAGACACAAGTCTCTCAGGCAGCTGTCAATCAGTGCTGGCAAGCTACTCGGAAAATGTAGTGAGCTAAGCTACCAGTTAAGTTAAATAATAATTCTGTATCAAATTGACACTGTAGCCTGACGTGCACCTTCCCAGAAATGTAGCTACACATCACAGTGACGCAGACCTCCTGTCTATTTTTGTAAGCTGAAACCATTTCCCTCAGTGGAAACAAAGCTTTAATATACTTTTATTTCACAGATAACTAATAACCAAACTGGACTAGATGAGACAAGTAACTAGGATGGAATAACTATCTGTCTAACTAACCATACATAACTGAATGTGCTTCATAATTTCAAACATTAAAAAACACAGGCTAATGAGAAACACAGTTTGGTTGACATATTATAAAAGATAAATTGTGTTTGGTGGGGAAAGGTCTGACAGTTTAGCTGAAGAGATTCAGAAAAGGTTAGAAATCAAGTTCAGTGTAATTTCTACTGTCTGCCAAGAAGCAAGGCCACGTCAAATACACAGAATTCATCACGCTGAGAAAAAGAGAACATCACATCAGGGTGGACGACCTCATACAGAGGAAAATTATGACAAATCTGAAATTAGATTTTTGAGTGTGGATTAACTTTATCTGTTGTCAAAACATCAAACTCTTTACACCACTGAATAATCATGTGCAGCTCATTAAAGTTGCTTCT